ACCAAAGGCAGCTAATTGTGCTGTCTGTCTAAGAAAATGAACGGGCAGGCCCCTTCTTTACCTTGGGATTACAGAAGGGCACACCAGAGGGCATCCCACACATGAGCCAGGACAGTCAGGAGGTGAGCAGCTTAGCCACAGCACTGCACCCAGATCTTCCCTTCCCTTCTCCTCCTCCTCGACACCACTCCTCCCAGGCCTGGCTCCTTTCACTGGGCACCAACTGAACCTGTCCCTCGCCTGCAGAGTGCTCGCCTGCCTCTGCTGCAGTGACAGGGAGATGCACCCTTGCCTGTGAGCTTCAGCCAGCAAGTGACATGCAATACCTTTTATTCTCCACACAGCTCTGCCCAGAGAGGACTTGAGGCCCTGGAAAGGCCCCCAAGAGCGTGGCTAGCAGGAACCCCTTCTCTCTGGGCTGCTTCATGTGGTCCCAAGGCCTATTAGGGTTTCTTGGCTGCTCACAGTAATCCTATTACCTCTGCTTCCTAGGTAAAGAAACTAGAGCTGAAAGAATAGTGCTAAAGCTTTACTCTAAGAGCTTTCTTTTTTTTGAGGTATAGTCTTGCTATGTACAGTAGTTTAGGCTGGGCTTGAATTCCTGGTGATTCTCCTGCCTCAGCCTATCAAGTTCTGGGACTACAGATGTATGCCATTATGCCTAGCCAAGAGCTTTCTGTGTATTACCCATCATCACCATTTCAAAGATGAAGTTTCTGGGCCCCAGGGGTGCAGAACAGGGTACTCTTCTGGCTTTTGAAGATGTTCTCTGAGCCATTCCATCCCCTGCCTTGCTCTTGCCTTGGGATGACTTATCTGAATCTGACTAGCTGGGACATAGTGGGGCCAGATTATCCACCCAGATCTTCCTGGCTTTGCAGCCCAAGTCCTAGCCCCCAGCAGGGTGCTACTTAATGTCAGAAACCCCCCATGAGAGCATCAACCCTTTCTATAAGAACTGTTCTCCATGCCTTATACATTCCCCATACTCCTTCTTGGGACCCATGGTAGCAGCTGGACGCTGGACTTGGGTACATCCTGGAGGAATAGGAACCTCAAACCAGAGCATCAGAGCAGGGAAGGCCCTTGAGCTCCCCTTCCAGCCCTCTCTCCCTTGGCATCCAGGAAGAAGAGAGAAACTAAGAGACAGTAGGACCAGAACATGCCTCAGGGCATATAATGAGTAGGGTCCAGTGGGTTGGGAGGGAGAAGGCCCGTCCCAGGAGCCACCCTGGATACTACCCCAGGCATCACTGCTGGGAATATGTCTGTCATGGGCCCTTGTCCTTGAGCCTGCTGCCTGTGAGGTAACCAGCCCAACCCTGTGCCCTAAAAAACCTACTTATGGACCCCAGCTCAACTGGCTGGGGAGGGATTGGGGTAGGGGGACCTGGACTGGTAGAGACTACAAGGGCAGAGGAGGGTGCCTCCTTCCAGGAAAAGGCCTTTGGAAGGTGCGTGAAGGAGGAACAGGGACAAGGGCCACTCAGGTAGTGCTCAGTTATTGTCACAGAGCCCTGCAAGTTTGTCTCACTCTTGAGTCTACCAATAGAAGACAGATTCAGAGCTGGGTGCCGAGCTGACTTCACAGCCACAGCTCTTTCTAAGACAAGGAAGGGCACAAGCTCACATGCTTCATTTCTGAGATCTATTTCAACATTCCTCTTTTTTGCTTGTCTTCTCCCATTCCCCGTGAGGTAAGGAATCAAGATGTAGGTTCAAGCTACGGCTCAACTTTGGCCAAGGTCACACCTGGTCCTAGCCTCAGTTCTCCAGGCTGTAGGAGGCCATGTGAGCACAGACTTTCTGGGGCATATTGAGGAGGTTTCCAGGGACCGAGAGATGGCACAGGTGAAAGCAATCCTTGGGGGGGGGTGGCTGGGGCCACTGAGGAGTTGGGAACTGGCAATTTGTTCTTTCAGAGTGGAAAGAAATAAAGAGGAAAGCAGGCCCAGCATCTCCCAGGTATTAAGCACCAGGAAGCAGGTCTCCTGATAAGAGAGGAAGGACCCAGGACTCTGATGCCCTCCCAGCTCTTGGGGTTCAGCAGTCAGCCAAAGTTGTGAGGAGCAGGCTTGGAATCTGAGCAGGGGCACCTGGGTAGGGCCTTAGACAATGATAGTGACTCACAGCTGCTGGGGGCCAGGAATGGTCTGGGCAGAGCCTCCTACAGGTGAGCTGTCTGATGCTCTGACTCACAGGTGACTGGCTCAGCACTGCGTCAGGTGCAGGGAGCTGCTGCAGACCTTGCTGGAAAGCAGTGTCCACCCCAGCCACCACCATGTACCACACTGTGCTACCCCCAGCCCTGATCTGGGCACTTTCCATGCATGGATACTTGGCAGGTGACAATTCTACCACTAGACCACCAGTGTTAATGACCATACATGAATTCTCAATCCTTACAACAACCTCTTGAAGTAGTTAGTGTTATTTTTATTTTACTGATGAGGAAGCTGAGGCTCAGAGAGGCATCATGTGACATAGGAAGCAGCTTTTGAAGCAGCCACTAGGACAGTAATTGCTTCAGAGGGAAACAGCATTCATGGCTGGTGATTGGTCAGGCACCAGATGTCAGGCCTGGAGACATAGTGATGAACCTGACCAGAGTTCACCCTTAAGAAACTCCTAGTTTATGGCAGAGACAGTGACATAAAACCTCTCTTCCTGCTCCCCTAGGGCCTGAGCATATACCACAGACAGTGACAGCCAAGGGGATTAGGACGGGGGGGGGGGGGTTAGGTAGTGAGTACCTAGAGAGCACCAGACCCAACTACCCAGGGGGCTCCTGATGAGAAGGAACACGTGTAGGGTGTAAGGAGGGATCTGGGCAAGTTCTCCCCAGCCCACCTGGTGATTGAATCCTGGGGCCCTGGCACTGAGCACATTTTTAAATTTTTTGACACAGAGGCTCACTAAATCACTAAATTGCCCAGGCTGACCTTGAATTTTCTATCTTCCTGCCTCAGCTTACCAGCATGCTGAGATTACAGGCACATGCCACCATGCCCTGCTAAAGTGGTAGACTCTAACTAAATGTCACATACAGTGAAGAGTTACCCAGGAGCAAATGTAGCTCAAAGCTTCTGAATCCCCACTCACATGCCTGAACTTTTCTGGGACTCCAAGAGGACCCTGGCAATTTCCTATGAATAAATTTGTATTCCTTTTTGGAAACGAGGCCTCCCAGTGATACCCTTCTGATCCAGCCCTGGGGACACAAGTTAATAAAAAGTGTGTGTCCTTGCTGAGGGAACATTGTGTGCGGATGCCCACAGCAGTGATGTGCGTAACTGTCTTTACACACACTACCTCACAGACTCCAGCTGGCAGCGCCATCTCTGCCTCCTGGGATCCACACACACACACCTAGATTCCTTGTAACTGCTGGTGGGTGTCATCCCTGCTGACTCTAGTAGTCAGTTACCTTTTTGTGTGCCTGTATCTGAGGCTCCCAGTGTTGGGACGAGTCTTGCAAGTGAGCATCTAGCTAGCTGATCTCTGCTGACAGATACACTGGCAGGCTGGGAACCCACTGCCTCCCCCAGACGCCTTGCTAATGTAAGCAGGCATCACCCAGCCGCCGCCCCTGCCCTACACCTGTCTGTGCCTCCTCAGATCTGTCCACTTCCACTTCCCACCTGCACTGCTTGTGCATCCCACCTCCTCCGCTCTCTCCTGAAATTTGGAGCTCAAGGCTGACCCAGGAGAGCTGAATCCCCTCCTCCCCTCCCCCTTCTGTCCCCTGCTTTTGTGAAGGGACAGCTCTAATGGCAGCCACGTGCTGTGATGAGTCATGGTTAAGAGCATCTGGGGCTCAGGCTGCGGTGGCTGTTAACTCCTCCTGGGCCGGGCTCTCTGCCAGGAGCCCAGGTCGGCTCAGTCTTGCTCACCCACCTCGGGGCCTCTGAGGAGCGTGGTCCCCGCCCAGGGACTGGGGATGGGGAGGGGACAGCGGATGAAGGGGTCGCGCACCACCTTTGGGGTACGGAGCACTGGGCTTCATTCCTATCCGAGTGGTCCTGAGCCGCCACACCAACGCCTTGCCTCAGTTTCTGCATCTGTAAGAGGCCAGTGACGGGGCTGTTTGAGAAGGCGCGCGCGAGCCGCCTCCTCGCAGTGCGTGCCACGCCGTGTCACCTCCCGCCCGTGTCTCAGGCTAGCACAGTCCCTCGTGGGCAATGGTTGGGGTTAAAATCCGCACCTGACTGCAGGCTGCGTGCACCCGGCTCGCTCAGGCGGGGCAGTGGTGGCCAGAGCAGCCGGGTCCGGGGCAACTTTGCGCCCGGCGTAGGCCGCGGCCGGCGGAGCGCGGCTCGGGTGGCGCGTGGCGGCGGGCCGGGTCTGGCTGTCGGGCCGCGGGGGAGCCCTGCCGGCCGGGGCCGGGGCGGCCATGGCCCCATTGCGCGGCCCGGCACACCGAGGCCCGGCCCGGCCCCGCCGCCTTCCCCGCCCCCGGCGCGCCCCTCCCCGGCCGCCGAGTCCGGGCTCGGCCGCACAGCGCCCGGCTCGGGCATCCGGCGACAGCACCTGGGCCGCACCTGGCGTCCGGCGGGGGCAGCGCGGCCCGCGCCCTCGGCGATGACCACGGCGGGCGCTCCGGGCTCCCTGCCCGCGGGGTGAGTGCGCCGGGCGGCGGGCTGGGGCGGCGCCGGCTCCCCGAGGCCCGCACTGCGGCTCGCTGGGCTCCGCTCGGCCGCCGCGGGAGGCCTGCGGGGGTCGCGGACTCCAGTGGCCGACCCGACTTAGTCTGGGCTGTAGTCAAGGCTTGTGCACAGCAGCCTTCCTCTGCAGCCCTGCAGCGCTGGTCCTGCGGGGAGGCCCTGACGCTTCCCTATGGATGAGGACACTGAGGCAGAGCTCTTAAGTGATTATCTTCTGTCGTCCAGGAAGTAAGGGCTGGGCTAGGATTTGAACCCAGCTCTGTCTCCTGTCAGAGCCCCCACTCACATCCTCTTCTGGGCTCTTTGGGGACACAAAGGTACAGCAGGGCCCCTTGGGTGCAGCCGGAACTGGGCTTGTGAAAGGTGGGCGTTGTCACGGTTAGCAGCTCTGCGGCCCCGCCCACCCCCCTGAGGGCTCCCGTGAGACCCCCTCCCGGGCCTGCCCACACTCTGCACACCTGCAGCTGGTTTTCCTGGGAGACCTGGCCGCCAGAAAGGGCTGGGCGCAGATCGGGCCCAGGTGAGCAGGGAGGAGGGCCTGCCCTGCCTGGTTCTCACCACTGGTGATAGTGTTTACCAGGCTGGACAGATGAGTGGGGAGGTCAGGAATCTGGTCCCACTGACATCTGGAAGCTGCTACAGGGTCTGTGCTTGGTTTGGGGGCTTAAGGGCTGGAAATGGGGTGACTGGGGGCAATCTACCCTGAGGGAGAGTTGCCTGCTAAGTTTTGCCTTGATCAGTTTTTGTTTGACTAGCTGAGTCCTTCAGCCTCCGGAGGCTTTTGTCCCTCCTTTGGAAAATATAGGGAGGCTGGGCCGGCCGCTCCCTTCCTGCCCTGCGCCCGCAGCCCTTGTAAATCTGGAGCTTGGTTAAGGTTCCTTTTTGCCCAACTCTGAACACCACCAGTGGGTCTAGAAAAGTAGTTTCCAGGAGAGAAGGCAAACATGGAGCAACATTGCCCTGCCAAAGAATCTTGGACTTCAGGGATGAGACAGAGTTCATCCCTGTCCCTTAGACACCCATGTCTGTGCCTGAGGCCAGTCTACTACCCAGCCTCCAGCTGAATGAAGGCCATTGGCAGGCTGAACCGCACTTGCCTCCCTGCCTGCCTGGGAGGGTGAAAAGTCCACCTGCCCCTGCCTTGGTCAGTGCCATCCTTGTGGGTCTGGTCAGAGGCAGCCAAAGTAAGACCATCTACATCTTCACCAGAGATACTTATCTCACTGAAATACTCAGGGAGACACTTGGCAGGCCCAGCGCCAGCATCTGGGAGGGTGAGGGGAGAACACACCAGCCTCAGATCTCCACTGCTTTGAAAACTATGAAATATTTTTAAGCTTCAGAATAATATAGGGGATTTAGTTCAGTGGTGTAAGCACCTGCCTGGTAAGCTCAAGGTTATGAGTTCGATTCCCAATACCACAAAAAAAAAAAAAAATTATAGAAAATAGTAAAATTCCCATGTTCTTGCTACCCAGTTCGGTCAGATGCTCACACTATGTCCCATTTATTTCATGTTCTTTTTAAGAAATAAACCATGGTAAGGCCAGGCGTGGTGGTGCACACCTGTAATCCCAGCCCGTGGGAGACTGAGGCAGGAAGATTGCTGAGAGTTTGAAACCAGGCTGGGCTACATAGAGAGTTCAAGGCCAATCTTCACTGCAAAATATGACTCTATCTCAAAAATAAATAAGTAAACAAACAGTGGTAGAGACCATGAAAATCCCTGTGGAAAACTCCTTCCCTTTCCAGAGAAAATTGCCATCCTGAATTTTGGTTTTCACAGTTTTCTGTTTTTATTCTTTTGCTGAGTATGTGAAAATCTAAAAAATGAATAGCTCATTCTAATTTATGAACAAAGGGAGCCATATACTATATGTCATTCTGTAGCTGGCTTTTTCCTGCTTAAAGTCAGATTTCTGAGATTTGGCCGCCTTCTTGACCTCAAAGTGCTGGCCCCCTTGACCTGAAATTGCCACACCACCCTGTGTGTAAAGACTCCCATTTATTTACCCTTCTTGTTGGACATTGAGGAGGCTCCCATGTCTTACTATGCAAACACTAAGTATTGCTGTAGTATTCCAGGTCATAGGATATGTGCTTGGTCTTTTAAAGTTTAGTTACACTGTAAGATCGTGGTACTCAATGAAAGAAATGAAGGAAACCATACTCATTAACATTTTCTAAGTACTTCCTGCTGTTCTGTATGTGGTCTTCGGAGGTCTTCACAACTACTCTGGGAGGTCAGTATTGTCACTTCCATTTCATTGATGAGGGAACTGAGGCTTATGGAGGCTAAAGAATATTCTCAGGTTTTTCCAGCAAGTAATTTTAGCTTGAGTCTGGGGTTGTGTTCTTTGAGAACTCTTTTTTAAAAATTTATTTATTTTTATTGGTACTGGGGATCAAACTCACGACTGCCTGCTTGCAAGGCAGGTGCTTATGCCGCTGAGCTAAATCCCCAGCCCCGCTTTGAGAACTCTTAAAGGCCACGCTGCATTAGGTCTTGTGATAGGGTACCCACTTTATGTGTAGCTAAGGAGGACTCTTCAGAAGGTGAGTCTCAGTCATTTTTTTTTATTTGTTGGTGTTTTTTTTTGTCTTGTTTTTTTTTTTTTTTTTTCAGACAGTCTTGCTATATAGTTTAGCTGGGCCTTGAACCCCCTAGGGAACCCAAACTGTCCTCCAATTCTCTAAAATCCTCCTGCCTCGGACGCCCAAGTGCTGGGATGACAGATGTGTGCCACCACACACAGCTGGGACTGGGTCCCTCAGCTACCTCCCTCCCCACTTCACTAAGAAACTCTAAAGTGAGAGCCAAGGGGAGAGTGATGTGGCTCCAGGCTGCCTGAGCCCTGCCTTCCACTCCCTTTAGTGGGACCTGCGTGAGTCTACCAGTCCTGCTCCATTCTCCATCTGGCCCAGCACCACCCTCCACCTAGTACCATCACCCTACCCTGAGACAGTAGGACAGTGAAAAGGCCACCAGAACACAAGATACATGTCGTCTGGGCCCAACCAGGGGCTCTGGAGCAGAAAGGCCTGAGCCAGTGGGAAAGTGGGCCCCTGGCAGCTCAGGCAGGAGAAAGGTTTGGCGCTGTGGCTGAGCAGAAAGCTTGCCCTCCCAAGCTGCTGGGAGAAGCAGGCCCCTCCCATCTCACTGCCTGCATTTTCTTATCTGTCAATTTGGATAAGCGCTCCCACTGGTAGGAGAATTGGGTGAGATAATACTGTCACCCAGTTTAGATAAAACATGAGCAATATCCTCTTGGTACACAGGGGGTGATTGTGTATCCTATTATTAAAGCAAGTGAGGCCAGTGTCCCAAGCGTCCCTGACCCCCTAGACAGCCCCCAGTCACCTCTGCATTTAGCCAGCCTTCGTCCTCCAGGCCTTCCACATTGCTTGTGCCTCTAGCCCTCTGCACACCCTGTTCCCTCTTGTTGGGCATCTTTTCCCATTTTGTGTGCCTCTCAGTGACATCCTTCTCAGATGGGCTTGTTTAGTGCCCTAGGTTGGGGTAGGAGCCAGGTACTTCCCACAGTCACAGGCCCCGTTGCTGTCACTGCCTCTGCCTGCATCATCTGTAGCTCCTCAAGGGCAAGGCCAGGTCTGGGCTTTTTCTGGAAGGAGGGGGCAGATAAGATATCTTTAAACCAGGACAGCTTTTGTTTTTGCTTGTTGCCACCCACCTGCACATGGTGGGCAATAGTATGGTGTGTATAGGTTTACTTCTTCTTTCATTAGTGTTACAGAGCGTGGATCCATCTTGCATAACTTGCACATCTCCAGCCTTGACCCAGGGCCTGATCTTGGATGGAATGAGGGCAGGAAGTCAGGCGTGGGGCTGCCCCTAGTCTGGGGCAGGTGATCCCTTGCTCCAGGTGAGCCAGAACAGCTGGGCCCTGGGCACAGGGGAAGACAGACATATCTTGGCCTCTCGAGGAAGGGCCTGTGGCAGCTTCGGATGACATCTTTTAGACCGAAGAAGGGAACTGGGTCTTTGTTCTGAGTGGACTGGGAAGCCAGTGAAGGATTTAAAGTCCAGGAATGACACAGTCAGATCTGGGTTTTAGAATGATATTTGGAGCTCCTAAGAGAGGCATAGTTATGCGGCCATGATGATGCATACCTGTAATCCCAGCCTGCAGGAGGCTAAGGCAGGAAGCCATGAGTTTGAGCCCAGCCTGAGCTACGTAGTGAGACCCTGTCTCAATAAAAAGCATGGGGTGGGGGGAGAGGGCACAGGATAAAAAGAAATAAAACTCTCAGTATTTCACCTGGAGTGTAGCTGGGCTTTAGCAAGTATCCTTCGAGGTCTATCCCTGAGACACAGAATTGACAGACCCACTCAAGCCAAAAATCAGGAGGGACCTGAAATGAGGCTAGGAAGGAGATGAAGCTGTAAAACCTGAGGTATTTACAGGCTGAGAAGCCCAGAGCTCTGTGCGTGCATTGTGGGTGCACTGGTGCAGAGTGAGGGGGTGGCACTTAGCCCTTGGAGGGGTCCAGCCTGTTGGATTAGCCTGAAGAAAGGAGCCATCCACCAGCAAAGGAAGATAAGAGTTCTAGTGGAGAGAAAAAGGCCACTTAGAAATTATGAATATTGGTCTGCCTTCGTACAAGTGGTGGTATTGGATGCGTGCTTTCTGTGTCTTCCTAAAATACATAAAATAAAAAAGTGATGTATGTGGCGGTAGTGGGCGGGGGAATCTGGCCAAAGGAGATGGATGTTCTTTACAGAGAGATAACCAGCTTCTCATTTCAAGGTTCCTTTGGGACCAGTCCAACTTGAGTTTGTGAGAAAATCATCAAACACACAGGAAACAAGCCACAGTAGTGACAGGCACCAGAAGCAACACTAGCATAGTTAGTTTCTGTGAGAGTCTAAAATGCCACAATTCTGAGATAAAATTATGTTTCAGATGTAGAAAGAAAATATAACAGATTACTAACTTTCCAGGAAATCAAATTTTTAAAAAAGATGTATAAAGAAGCCAAGAAATTTGAAACAAGTTGGACATAATGGTGTGTGCCTGTAATCTCAGCACTTGGGAGGCTGAAGCAAGAACATCACTACCAGGCTGAGGCCAGCCTGGCTTACACAGTGCGTTCAAAACCAGCCTGGACTACGTAGCAAGACTATCTCAAAAAAGAAAGAAAGAAAGACAGAAAGAAGAAAGAAATTGAAACAATAAGCAGGGGGGAAGTTCTGCCGAAAATAACCAAACAGACTTGAAAAAGGATGAGCTAGAATTGGTGGACATGAAAAATATTATTGTCAGGATGAAGGACTGAGTAGAGAAGCAGCAGCTAAGACTCAACGAAGAGGGCGATGGTGAGACGAAAGCACTAAAAAAAGTACTGGAACGTAGCAGAGTCAAAAAGATGGTAAATAGCAAGTTAAGTGACCTAAAATATGGAATTAAAAGGTCTGCGGGGAAGAGAGAAGGGGCAGGAGGCGGTGGACGTGGAAGGGAGTCTCCTGTCCCTCTCCCATCCTTGGCACTGAGCAACCGAGGCCAGGCAGGCAGCAGGACTGAGAGGGTTTCATGGCGGAGGAGGTGGGGGAGGCGGGGAGAAGCTTGTGTCCCAGACAACTCTCAGATTTATTAAAACGGCAACATCAAGAGCCTGCAGATTTGGGAGCTAAGAGGATTCAGTTTGCCTGGGAAGACCTGCGTCACAGAGGAGGAGACCTGAGCCCTGGGTCTCCAGGTCTGTGTCATTTCCTTGGTGGAGAAGGGATTTGCTCTTAACTTTCCTTCAGTGAGTTCTTCAGGTTCCTCTCTGGAATCTTCTGTCACTCCAGAGATGCCTGTGAGGAAAGCCATTCATACACGCATCCACGGACAGCTCTGAGATCGTCATCTCTCATTTTTTCAGATGGGAAGCTGAGACTCTAGATTCAGGGATTTGTCTTTCCAGCCTTCCATTCCATTCATTCATTCATGCATGCATGCATTCATTTACCTCGTATATTTATTAAAATCCTACTTTGTACTAGATACTGGGTGCTGGATATACAGTAGTGATCAGAATAGATTCCTGTGTTTTGGGGCCAGATAACAAACCCGAAAATAAGTAAAAAAACTTCATGGGATGATAAGAACTGCAGAGAAACTGAAGGACCAGAAATTCTGGCAGCATCCTCCAGGAAGTGACTCGGATATGGAAGGCCCATTGTGACAGTGTGTGGGGTTCTAGAGTGAAGGGCTGGGGCTAGGGACGCTTGCAGAAGGAGGAGAGAGAGGGACAGAGAGAGAGTGGGCCTGTGGGTGGGCTGTGCCCCCCAGGGGGGCAGTCAAGCCCAATGGGTCAGAAGGGCCACAAGGACTCCTTTTACCCTTGCGAAAGGTAAGAGACCTTCTCATCCTGTCCATAGCCCCTTCCCCACCCTCCATCAGATCTCAGGTGACACCTTTTTCTGCTGCTCCTCCCGTCCTTGGGGACACCCAGAGGTGGGTCCAATTGTTCCCTGCATCCTAGGACAGCATAAGCTCTCAAAAGCCATCCCAGGCCAACCAACAAGGTCAACTGAGCCCACAAGGCTCTATGGTGCCAGGGGTGCTGAAAGCTCAGAGGTCAGGCCTGTGTGTCTCCCCTCAGGACTCCTTCGAGCAACCTTCATGAGGCTCTGGACCAGTGCATGGTCGCCCTGGACCTCTTCCTCACCAACCAGTTCTCAGAAGCCCTCAGCTACCTCAAGCCCAGGTGAGCGGAAGCCTGGTGGGGGGTGGGGGGTGGGGCAGGTTTTGTGCACACACACATGACTCTCTTGGGGATGGAAGGGACCTGGTGAGTCATGGGGAACCAGAGAAAGCCCTGGAACTCAATGCCCTCAGCTTTGGGGTCACCGTGATCCCTGAGGAGTCCTGTAAAATGGCTCAGACTCCCCATCCTACAGCCTGTGAGCAGCCAGGTCCTTTCCAAGTCCAGGTCACTGTGACTTCCACGGTGATTTCTTGTTTCTGATGAACCTACCGGGGATTTCTTTCTATCATCTCTAACACAGCCCCTTGGCTCAGTTTCCCCTGCAGGCTTGAGCTGTCGAATTCACTGAGCATTAGAATATTGGAGACCCCTCCTGTAGCCACCCACCCCCTGTTTTTATTACCATATTTCTAGATAATATGCATATACTGTTTTTTCTTTATTTACTTTTTTTTTCTTTTTGAGACAGGGTCTCATTACACAGTTCAAGCTGGCCTTGAGCTCACTTTGTAGCCCAGGCTGGTCTTGAACTCGCAAATTCTCCCGCCTCAGCTTCCTAAGTGCTGAGATTACACGAGTGCACCACCATGCCTGGTTCATTTACCTTTTTTTCAACTTTTAAAACTGAGGTCTGACTTACACACTGTAAAATTTATCCTTTTTTACTACTATGTTTAAGTATCATCTTTCGGGGGACGATTTAGCCTTTTGACGTCTTTCCCCTGACCTTCCTCTTTATTATTACATCACAGTATTTGACTAACTTGTTGGTCAGTGTTATGAAATCTCTATAATTATTGCTTATTACAGAGACAAGTTATGTATCAGATGATATTTCCTTTCTGGAATTAATAATGCTCTTGTCTTTTTTCTTGCCTAATTTGCTCCATGTTTATCCTTAATCTTTATAATCTCACCACATGATCCTATCACGAGGTTTTTTTCTAGATGTTCAAACACATGGAACAAGCTCTCTGGCCCTGCTTTTCCTGGAAACCTGTCCTCTGGAGGACAGATGTGCTTCCTGGCCGCCTCCCAGCCCCCCTTGGCACGCTGTCTGCCTCTCCGGTGTCCCTTTTGCTCGGTCTGCTCATCTCGCCAGCCCAGGTCCACTAGGAAGTTCCCACCAGACCTGCATGAACCGAACATTTTTTCTGTCATGAGTCTGAAGGCGTTTGGCCCTGCATCCTCCACAGCTGGGACCCTCATTCTTCTCTTTTGTTCCTGCTGAAATGAAGGTCTTTCTTATTCTGTATTTTTGTAGGAGATTCTTTCAATTCTAGAATTGCCCCATTATTTCTGCCTTTTTTAAAAAACTGGTGTTGGACTTTCTGGTTGGGTCCTCTTCTGGGGCTTTGTCTCTCTCTCCCCTTTTTCTCCTATTTTAGGGAAATTTCCTCAACCTTATCATCTAGTCCTGTTTGGCTTTTCTTTACTTCTATAAAATTATATGACTAACCCCTAAAGTCCTTTGTTGTTCTCTGGGGTTTTTCTCTCTAAGTGACTTTATTCTTGACTAATGGATACTCTGACTCCTTGATGTTATTTCTATTGTCACAGAATATTATTCTGTTAAAAATGCTCCCCCCTCCCCCACAATCTTGGCTTTCTCCAGCTTCCTGAGTTCTGTGTAATGATGGGAATTCTCTTCTCGTGGACCTTTCCTCTGGTGCTTAATGAGCTGGTTATCTGGTCACAATCATGAATCCCCTCAGTTTACTAAGATCCTTTCACTAAAATAAACAAGTAAAATAAATAAATAAGAGTTCACTCAAAGGCCCACTGGAAAGTGTGCCAAGCAGCCTGTGACAAGTGGGACTGGCTTGAGTGCTCCAGCAGACAGGGGCTGGGTCTCAGCTCTCAGCATGTTAGAGTCCGAGGGCCCAGGAAGTCCCCATTTCTTAGCCTGGGGGTCTGTCTGAACTCTGAGAAGGGGGAGGGGGACTGCTGCTTTCTCTCATTGACCTCGTTCTCTGAGGCTGAGTTCTCAGGCTATTCTCTGAGCCACTAGGCCTGGTTTGTCTGAGACCTGGGAAAGTAACCGCCCAGGTGATGCCACCTGTTTCTGTGAGTCCCCAAGGCTGACCTGTGCACTTCCTCTAGACTTGCTGACCCATTGTGGTGGGGAGATCCAGGGTGTGACGGTCACAGTGAGTCCTCTGGTGGCAGTCGCACACCCATGCCCATTCTCTGACAGGGTCTTGGCAAGCACAGCATGGCTCCATCCTCAGGCAGGCCAGACTCTGTCCTGTTCTATCACTGAATATCCGAGTTCCCCTCCCACTGGTTTTCTAAGGCTCCTGGCTTCCACTTCCTGCCTGATTACTTTCTGTCCCTGGACCCCGGACCACAGCCACCCCCTGGCACTGCAAATTGGCTGTCCCAGGCCTGCCCTGCTACACTCAAGCACTGAGCTTTCTCTTCTAGCAAAAACCAGGCCCCACTGTGCTCTAACTCTAGACTGCCCTGCAGACGTGGAGTCAGTAGAAGGAAGTCAGAGCATAGGAAAAAATTAAACAGTAAAAGCAGATGGCATGGGCTGGCTCAAAAGCCGTACCTACTGCTGGTGGCTTAAGAGGACTTTTCCTCTGTAGCCTTCCCTTGATCCCTCACTCCAGCCAGGTGCTCTGAAAGAGGAGGAAATGTCACCCTAGAGGGAGTACCAGTCTTTCCAGGAGGCTGTCTCCATGAGAGTCACTGGTCTAGAAAAAATGGTTCCTGCTTAAAACCAAACAACCAGCCAAACAAACAAACCAGGTCCCCAACCCAATTGGTAGTTATGAAGTTTTCTAAAAGGTTGAAGTTCAATTGATTCACTACTCCTGTTTGTTCATACATTGTCTCATTAAACTGTTTTTACTCTGTGCTTTAGGAGGTAATTGGGCTTGGACACCAGTTCTTGAATGATGTCTGTGCTTCTAGTGTATGCTCCTTACCCCTGTGTCTGTGGGTACCATCTCTGGAGCAGGGAGGCTTCTTTTCTCTTTTTTTTTTCTGTTTTTGTTTTTGTTTTTTTGAGATAGGGTCTTGCTATGCAGTTCAGGCTGGCCTTGAACGCACTTTGTAGCCCAGGCTGCCTTGAACTTGTAGAGGTCCTCTTGCCTCAGCCTCTGGAGTGCTGGGGTAGCAGGCATCTGCCACTAGGCCTGGCTGTTGATTTTCTTTTCTTTTTTGGTACCAGGGATTAAACTCATGACCTTGAGTTGCCAGGCAGGTACTTACGCCGATGAGCTAAATCCCCAGTGCCTTGATTTTCTTGATAAGTAAATGATCATGGCTTGTATGTAGTGGTGCTGGGACTCACATTCAGGCCCATCCAGACCTTGAGCCCCTCTGGGACTGCTGCATGCTTCTGGGGCTGTGGAGGTGCTAGGTCACCTTGCATGGGAGGACCTTGCACTGCCTTTTGACCTTGGAGGCATGAGACAGGCAGAGAGAGAGTGTGACCTGTATACATGTGGTGCAGGAAGGCCAGGGCATGTCCACATGGGCGGCCTGGTATTTCTTGGAGGGAAGAGGCAAGGTTACCTGCTGAGACTGAAAGGACACAGGTGTTGGGGGACAACCAGGGAAGGATGCTTCTAAACTTCTCAAATTGACACAATCAGCCAATCACTACAGACTCCACCTCTTATGGGTAAGGAGCAAGCTGCAAAGGTTTTAGGACTGGCCATGTAAATTCCCAGGGTATATTGCAAAATGAAAAGGTTCACATTTTTTTTTCTCAAATTATTGAAAATGTCAAGGCAGTGACAGCAGAGAATTAAACCAAACATGGGAGTCTGAGGGCTATATAGATCACATACCTCCTCAGCCCGTGAGTGGGGGGACCTGAGGCATAACCTAGATCCTCTGAAACTTGGATCCCTTGAGTCCTGGATCCCCCTGGCCTAGCAGATCTGATAGGAGGTGGAGCTCAGCTGGTGATGTGAACAATGGGCCTGGCTTCCGATCCAGTGGCTGTAAATGCAGATGAAGCATTGCTCCCGCTCACCTGCTGTGTGGTGTGGTTCCCAACAGGCCACAGACGGTGCCTGTCCTTGGCTGGGGAGTTGGAGGTCCTAGGCCAAAGCTGGAGTTGGGGGCCCAGGAAGCAGTAATAGGAGTTGAGAAAGGTGAGGAGGCTGGGACAGGATGACTGACTAGGATCTGATGAGGCCAGAACTTGGGCACTACCTGAGGAAAGGAGGGCTAAGGCTACCTGAGGGTGGTAACCGGCACTCCAGCCCTGCACCCTGCTCTGCGACAGCTCTTCCAGTATCCTCCCCAGCATGACAGCTGTAATGGGCCCCAGAAGGTGAGAGCCTCGTGGGCATCAGGTGACATCAGCTCAAGGGCATGGAATCTTTGCAAACAAGGGACACACACGGATTGAGGCGAGGCCCAGGCTGGGACATCATCACCCAGGGGGTGATGAGACTTCATCTTCCAGTGCAGATCTGAGCTGGGAGGCTTCTAGGTGAGAAGCTGGGGAGGAGCTTTGGGCTCTGACTGGAATTCCACTTTGTCTGCCAGCTGCCTGGGTGGGGCTGTCTCTCTTCCTGGGCCCCCACTACACCTGGCTTGCCAGGTAGAGCTGAGTCCTGTGGCTCACACCTGCAGACAGACAGGAGAAAGGCAAGGGCTTGACTGTTAGGCCTGAGGGAGGTTCTGAAGGGAGTCCCCTTCCCACAGAAAAGATTTCTGCTGGGGTTGACCCTTGGTTGTATTTATTTATTTATTTATTGGTACCAGGAATTGAACTCAGGATCTTGCGCTTGTCGGGTAGGCGCTGTGCCATCTGCCATATCTCTAGCCCTTGGAGTGACTCTTGACCCTGGCAGGATGTGGGACAGTTCATATTTATTGAGTGTGGTGATGTGGCTACTGGCCTGGGTGTCTTATTTAAATCACTCAAAAAGCCCTGAGACAAGAAGGGTTACTATTTGAGAGAGGACAAACTTGAGGCTGAGAGAGGCTATGAGACTTCCTGAGGTCACACAGCTGCTGACCAGCAAAGCAGAGGTTTGTTCCAGCCTGTGTCTGAGGAATTCTGAGTTTATGTTGTGTCTGCCCTCACCCTTTAGGCAGCTGCTACTCTCAGGGGAAGCTGCCCTGGAGCAGGCTGGCAGGGCGGGCGAGGTGTCTGTCCTTTTCTCCCTTCACAAACCTCTGTTTCTCAGGAGCCCACCACTGAGGGCCACCCAGGAGCAAAAGGCAACTCAGGCACAGGTATTTTATGATCAAGAAGGAAACCAATTCAAGTCACATGGTCTCACATAAAACCATCTATAAATCTTAGTCACCTCTCTTTCAAGTTCCCAGCATAAGCCTGGCACCAAGACGTTTCATAAATAATTGACAAGTGCGCGTGGGGCAGGGATGAGGTGGATGTGCACCCGCTCCCTCCCAGGCATCTCTCCAGCATCACCGCCCCAGGTGGTCAGGGACTGTGCACCCCCTGAGCACACCCCACACCCACCAACCTCCTCCCGCCAGCCTAATCTGCAGCTGGGAAGGAGCAGGAGGATTCCTGAGGCTGTGGCTTTATGCTGAGGAGGGAGATGAGTCGGGCTGAGATGTGTCCTCGAGGTGCCCACAGTCTGCAGAGAGAGCTGAGCTGGGCTGATGTCAGCTGAGTGTGGGCTCTGCCTAGTCACAGACAGGCTCCCTGAGAAGGAGCTCATTTGGGGGCCTGAGCGATGAGTTGGGAATGCGGAATCCCGGGAAGGGCATCTCAGGTGGAGGAAACAGCAGGTGCAAAGGCTCAGGGAAGGAACGTGTGGGGCTTCTCAGGAAAGTCTGTGTGGATCACTGAGCCCAAGGTACGGACTTGAGTGTGACCAGATCATGGAAGGCTTAGGATATAGGAGGCTAGAGAGAAGCTGGGCATGCTGGGGCATACTGGTCACCCTCTGGTGGCCCTCTGGAGCTGAGGCAGGAGGATTCCAAGTCTGAACCTAGCCTGGATAAGTTAGCAACTTAGTGAGAACTTGTCTCAAAATAAAAATAAAAAAGAGTGAGGATGTAGCATAGGATAAAAGACCCTGGTTTCAATCTTTAGTATAAAAAAAAAAATGCTGGTGAACCAGGCAGGGCTGGCATCGTTTAGCACCTGTAAGGTTCAAGCAGGGTACGACAAGGTACCGCATGGGTTGAGGCAGCCGATGGCTTGTGAGGAAGGCCAGGGGGTGTCAATGGCACTTAGCCCTGGGATGGGGACTAAGGACAGACAGAGCCTTTGGAGGAGGGGGCAGAAGGCAAGAGGCAGGCCCCCGGCAGGGGAGGGAAGACCGCCTTAGGTCTGTGCACCATAGAGCCCTCTGTTAGGCCTCATGCCACCTCTGCTGCCACCCTTCCAGGAGACAGAAGGAGCTGAGGCTTGGGCTTAGAAGGTCCCTGAGGGCCACACAGCAGGAAGAAGAGATTTGGGGACCTGTTTAAGGTCCTTTGAGTAACAGTAAAAGAGTCAGATGCTCCTCTCCCTAGACTCATCTCCCCCAGGCAGGACAGCAGCTCAAGGCTTGCATGCCAGGGTGAATAGCCCCGGCACTACTGCAGTGTGAAGAGTGGCAGTTTCAGTGTCCCTTCCCTCCTGCAGAACCAAGGAGAGCATGTATCACTCGCTGACGTACGCCACCATCCTCGAGATGCAGGCCATGATGACCTTCGACCCCCAGGACATCCTGCTCGCCGGCAACATGATGAAGGAAGCTCAGTCACTGTGTCAGAGGTCAGGGCCACAGCAGGGACAGGGATTTAGGGTTGCAAGGCCCACCTTGCGGTCAGCCTGGCCTATCTCAGTATCCAACCTGCAATGGGCCAGACCCTGGCTGTCTATGCAGCAATATCTCAGCAGGAGGCAGGGATGCTCGGGAGGTTGAGAGGGTCAACCCTAGCCCAAGGGAAGGGACCTGAATGGTGACCAGGCTCTGGCCAGGGCAGGGGGGAGGAGGAGGGGGCTCTGGGAGTCCAGAGTTCAGAGAATCCTGTGAGAGGGGTCCCAGTGGCTTAGAAGCTGCCCCAGAAGCCCAGGCTGCATCCCAGGGCAGAGCAGAGCTGTGAGCCTCTGAGTGAGGAAGAGCCTTCTAGAAGTCCCAAGCAGACAGCGCAGGTGAGCAGGCACCAAGACCTGGGTGGCAGAAGTAGATGAAAGGGGTACAGAGAGCCAAAGCTGAGACAAGCAGGGAGCTGCTGAGTACACACCCATCAGGCTGGGCAGGCTGGCCCTGGACTGCCTGGTACTCCGGTGACGGAGACAGGTGTCAGCCATCCCCGTTTACCAGTGAGGCTTGGAGGCTCAGAGAGGTAAGGTGGATTTTTTGCTAGAATCTTGAAACTTCTCTTTCTGATCCCAAAGCCTATGTTCTATCTCCTAGTGCTGCCCTTCTGGGCATTGTCTGGTGTGCAGTATGTGTGACGAGGTGAGTGGGCCCCCACTGACCCTCACTGAGTGACCTGAGGCCCCTTTCCCCCTTCAGGCACCGGAGAAAGTCTTCGGTGACAGACTCCTTCAGCAACCTGGTGCATCGCTCCACAATGGACCAGTTCACAGAAGGTGGGCATCTGGGGTAGCTCTAGGCCAGGGAAAGGACAGGAAGGGACAGTTACTCTCCCAGTTGTCACTTAGCAGGCTGGGCCTTGGCCCCGGGACGTGGGTGGGTTAAGCCTAGGATGTTTTGAGGCGTGGCCCCTGTTAGGGCATCGTGCACAGGTGATCCCACCCACCTGCCAGCGTTACAGGCCAGCAACCTGAAACCAAGGAGAGGGAAATCTGTCACAGGACAGTGGCTTTGCTCCGTGGGCCAGGCAATGCTTAGAGTGGAGTGTGAGGTTAGGTGTGCTGACCCGCTTGTCCTAGTGATCTCATGTGGGCCAAGGGGACTGGAGTTTGAGAAGGTGACACATTGGAACAAGAGAGCTGGCGGCAGCAGAAGGAAGGTCTGGCCCATTATAGCCTGAATGGCATCTTTGTGTGGTGCCCGTGTGCGGCTTGTGACCTCTCAGTGCAGGGCAGGGCATTGGGAGCCTGGAAGAGCCAGCAGCAGACAGTGCCGCCAGTGGTGCCACGTGCATGGCATCCGCGTTGAGAGTCCAGGGGCCACAGAGTTTTGTTTCTCTTTGCAGAGGAAATCCATGCCGAAGTCTGCTATGCAGAGTGCCTGCTACAGAGGGCGGCGCTGACCTTCTTGCAGGTAGGAGCCCCGTCCCGGGAGGGGAGGCTGGGAGTTTCAAGGCAACAATCCCTGAACTCAAGACTGGGTGAAGCCAGAGCAGCAGGGACCCTCTGCCTGTGCGCCACCCGCTTGCCCATGCCATTCCTTTGTCTCACCAAAGACAGCCCTGCCCATTACCATGCTGGTGCTTCTGCCTTGGCACTGCTTTTGACTGCTATCAAGGGTCACTCTGTGTAACAGGCATTTGTCACAAAGCCCGTTTTACACTTTCATTCAACAAACACTACAGTCCCGATAGGTCCTTTTTATGTCTCTTGCGTTAGTTTCCTTTCCTATGTTTATATTTATTGTTTAATCTTTGCCTCAGAGGCCAGCAAAGGGCACACTTAGGGGAGAACAGTTTGTCAGGGTCCCTTGATTAGCAAGTGGCAAGCAAGGATTTGAGCCTATATCTGGCCAAGTCAAGACCCTGATCTTCCAAACACATGTTGGGGTTTGGAGAGCTATCACTGCATGACTCAGCAGAGTGTCTGGGCTATAGTTACAACAGACCATCTAACGCAGGTCTTGACGATCCACCCAGATCTGGTAAGGGGAGAGGCAAGTGGCCCCTGGTGCCATCCCCGGCCTGCAGCAACCCCAGGCCACGCTCTCACACCTCTCCTTCCTGTAGGATGAGAACATGGTGAGCTTCATCAAGGGCGGCATCAAGGTCCGGAACAGCTACCAGACGTACAAGTGAGCAGGGCTGGCATGTGGGTGGCTGGTGTGACGGCCTGCTATGTGTCCCCTCGGGCTCTGTGGGAGGAGAGTACTGGCTGGGAGTCTTGAGCCTCGAAAGCTAAGCTCAGGAACCTCCAAATATAAGTTTTTTAGCATAATGGTCCTTTGATTTTGTGCTGTGGCTGTTCATTTGACCTCCTGAATGCCAACCCTGTTCTTTCGCTAGGGAAAAATAACACCTGGGTTCCACAGCCTCACCTGGGGGAGGGAGGGAGGGAGGGAGACTCTGGCATAGGGTTTTAGGACTATCAAGAGAACTACGTATCATGCAGGCCCAGGCAAATGCCCCTTTCCCTGCAAAGCCTTCTTTGACCTTCAGGTTAACAGTGATGATGCACATATATGTGGCACATATGCACACACACACACACACACACACAAGCTCTCTGAGGATCAGATTCATTTCCATGCAGGAAAGAAAGACAATTCAGTCCAGAATACTTTTACCCGGTATGATTCCATAGTCCCATATCTACAATCCCAAATCAAACACAGTTCTTTAAGCCGTTTCCTTCCCTTAAATTTTACATGAAAACTTACTCCCTATTAAAAGCTTACCTGGGACTCCTCGTGTCCATCTTCCCCACTTTGCTGCAGAACTGGGTGTTGCTGGAAGTGTGACAAGGTGCTGCTGGGGTACAGCACGGGGCAGGATGTGAATGAATCCTGTGTCACCTTGGGGACCTGTGCCAGAACTGTCCGAGGACTCCCTGACCGATGAGTGTTCTGGGCCCTCCAGTCCCCGATGCACACACCACGTCAGGCCACTCTGCACCCCAGGCTCGTCCTGCTCTGGTCCTGGTCTGGGGGGCTCCCTTCTGCCCTCCCACTGCCCTTTGCCTTAGACCCCAGGGCTCTCTCTTCTCTGTCAGGGACACTGTACACCTAACTCCAACTCATCCTTCAGGTTTCTCCTCAGATTGTGTCACCTCCTTCATGGAGCCTTCTTTTTTTTTTAATTTTATTTAAGGAGAAAAAGAAAAAGGGTACAAGTAATACAGAATTTCAAAAAAAATAGGAAATCACTAGTTAATAGATTACATATTGTCATCTTAGAAATAGTTGTTCAAGTTACAAAATTAAAGCATATAAAGTAGACATTCAAACAGTGAGACTGAAAACAGTTCTGTCTAATGATCCAACAAAACTCAGTAATATGGTTATCTATCTTACACGCTTAAATATACATGCAGTTATATCCTTTACAGCACTTTCTTTTCCTCTCTTTTTTACAATGACAATTACACACTTTGGGTTTTATTACTCCCACAGTTCTTATTACTTTTTTTTTTGAAGAGAATAAAACCAAATGTGACATAACAAAACAGTCAGTCAAATCAAAAGGATGGACATAGTACATGATGTGAAAGCAGAATTCAAGGTGATCAACAATGGTTACCATAATGCCTCTTGCTATCTTAAAAAGAATTGCCTATATCATCAGTTATAATAACATTGAACAAAACAGTACAGAACAAAACCAATAAAACAAACATTGGAGACATTACAGGACTTCAAAAGAAGACAATAGTCAAACCAGAATGGACATCATATTGAATCTTACTGTCTTCACAGTTGTTGCCTATACTCTCAAACTTGATACTATCAAGCAAAACAGAATAGATTAAAATCAGTCAAAACAAAATGGTGAGAGCAATACAGGGTTTCAAATCAAGTTAACAGGAAATCAGAGTGGGTTACTATAATATATCCTGCTATTTTAAAATTTATTTTCCCCTTAATTAAAAAGATAAAAATAAAAAATAAATAATAAAAAAAGGAGTTTGAGATAAAAGAGTACGTAACAACACAACAGCACAGGTCAGAACATAACAATTTAAGCAACATAGTGTTTCACCACAAGATATTTCGACATAACAGTAGTTACCATAGTGTCTCTTTCTTTGAAATATCTGAGTATAACTTTGTATACTGTAGCATCAAACATATCAAGACAATGTAAAACCATTCAAGAGAATGACAGTATTACAGAGTATTTAGAACCAACTAACAGAAAACAAACAATGGTTTCTACATTATCTCTTTGTCTATAAAAGTTTTTGTTTGTACTATCACACATAATAAAATCCAATAAGATATATCATATTAAGACCAATGGAGACAGAAGAACAAAAGCTTGATGGGACTTCAAAACACGATGATATTAAATCAGCACTAGCTATTAATGATGTGTTGTTTTCTCCAAAATAGTTGTTCATACCATCATAGACAATAAAATCAAACAGCCCAGAATAAAACCATTATAATTAATGAATGAAAACATTATACGGTTTTAAAGCAATATAATGGGGAATCATGATTCCCACATGCTTTTATGTATTGTTATCATTCCTTACACTAGGCAAACTATTCGGTATTTATACATGTGGGTTTGATTTATTTCACTTATGAGTATGGTCTCAGGCTGTGCCCATCCTTCTTGATTCCACCTAGGTCAGGCCTCAGGGTTCTTCTTCTAAGAGGCTCTTATTAGTGACTTGGTGGAGGTTGTCCTTGAGGGGAGCACCCTGGGTAGCTGCCTGTACACTGTTCTCCTTGTGTGTTCTGGAGGCTGGCACAGAGAGGCCTCTGTTGTGCCCACTGGTGGCATCCCTTGAGGTGCTCCCAGACTAGGAAAGAGACAGGATCTCTTTAGGGGCTCTGCTGGCCCAGGGGCGCTGAACTGAGCACACTATATAGTTGGTGACTAGGAGGGTCACATTTGGCCAAGTGAATTGTGGGGAGACTCCCCAAGGGAGGAAGTATTAAGATGACACATTAGGGGTGCTAGTGCTAGATATACACTGGGCAATATCTGCTGATCTCAGGCCGAGACTGTACTGACCTCTAAACACTTGGCCACACTGAGCTGCCTGCTGTGCATTCACGGTCCCCTCTTCCACCCCATCTGCAGTTCTCCCGTCTGTGGAGACACAGATGCAGTGCACAGCACAGACCCAGGAAGCTGAACAAGGCACACACAAGTCCAGTGTTGCTGTGATTCAGGGGCCAGAAATGTTATCACCATGAGGGACAAGAATGGATAGTTTTCGAACACCAGTTCCTCAGAGCTGCCCAGCTCCTGCCCTCTGGATCCCTATGTGTGGCCCAAACAGGGCTCCTGTCTTCCACAGGGAGCTGGACAGTCTTGTCCAATCCTCGCAGTACTGCAAGGGGGAGAGCCACCGGCATTTTGAAGGAGGGGTGAAGCTCGGCGTGGGAGCCTTTAACCTGGTGAGTTGGAGCTGCCCCATGTGGGCTCCAGGTCCGTCTCCCCAGCCTCAGGTGTAGTCACTGTCCGGCCGTCCGAAGATGAACCGTGCACAGTTGGGGTCTGGTAGAGGGAGTGGAGCTGGCTCAAGGGCCTCTCTGTGCCTCTGAGTGTTGGGTTGGTAGCGTGACAGGACTCAGCATAGCAGTAAACCCTGCAAATGAAGGACTATTCTGCCCTGGAAAGGCAGTTGCTAAATACTTGCCAGTGGCAGAGGAGGTGAAAGGCCTAGAAACAGCTGGTGACCCACGGGGGACAGAGAGCTGTGTTCTCTTCTGGAGGAACTGGGGAAGGTTTGCTAGAGGAGTGAGGTGAGCCTTACTGGGCCTTGGAGGAACCTCAGGTTTCTTCCTCAGGTGACAGGTGACAGGAAGGCGCTGCAGGCAGAGGGAGCAGTGAGCCCTGTGCCCACTCTCGGGAGGTGGCAGCTCTGTCCTTCCCTGATAAGACCTGTTCAAGGAGCAGGCCCTGGGGTGGAAGCGCTCTACCCCTCGGGAGCCCCCATGTATCCCTGTCTCTGTTTCTGCAGACACTGTCCATGCTGCCGACTAGGATTCTGCGGCTGCTCGAGTTTGTGGGGTTTTCAGGGAACAAGGTGAGCACCTGCCTGCTAGACTGTTGCTGGACTGGGCAGAGTGGGGTGGAGGAGCTGCAGCACCTGGCAGCCTCTCAGATCAGCCCCCTCAGTGTGGGGCCCTGGACAAAGCCTGGACCCTGTGGGGCGTGGTCATTGCCGCAGCTGCAGGGTCCCATGATCACTGCCTGCCTCTCAGTCAGGTGTGAGTATTGTGCAGACATGCACTTGCTCTGGTCCTTCTGGTACCTGCTGTCCCATGGGCCTCTGTTTATTATTCATATATTATCTTTTCAAAAGCAACCTGTAATTTTTATTTAAATTTATTTAAAAGAAACTATTCCCAAACCCATGTTTGCATTAGGATATAATCATATAAATATTGAGGCCCACACAATCTCAGGAACTAGATGACAGGTAGAGGTCACCTGTCCTGGAGAAGAGGGAGCCGGACTGGAGTCTGGGTGCATGTGCATGGGCCAGGCTCCACTGGGTCTCTCTGGAAGGACAAAGAGGCCCGAAGAGGGAGGTCCCTCATGTGGAGCTTGACGCTCTGGACACCTGTCCCTGGATCCTGAAAATCTTGGTTGGTGCCAGCACCCCACAGCTGGTGGCTCCACAGTCACTGGAGTTTGACTTTTCTTCTGCAGGCCCTCACGGCACCAGAGGGATCTCCAGACTAATGGGAAGGTGGGCGTGAGGAAGGACCGCGGTGGGACAGGTGACCCAAAGGCAGGATGGGGTGGAAAGGACAGGTCAGGCTGGTGTTTTAGACAGAACAAGAATGCTATGGAGGAGAGGAGGAAGGGAGGAGCGTGGAGCTTCTGCTGGAGCTTCCTGGTGGCCAGGCCTCTTGGCCTCATCATGGCTGAAGCCAGTGGGAAGATTGTCTTGCCTTTGTCCTTCTGCCCAGGCTCATGGCCAGTAGGTACATGCAGGGAGCTATAGAGAGGAGCTTGGCCAAGATGGGACACAGGAGATCCGGCCAAGCCTTGGGCAGCCTCAGCAGTGCAGAGCGGAGCTGAGCACTGAAAGGCAGCCCCTGGCTCGTGGTCATAGGCGAGGCATAGCTGCCCGACCTCCGACCTCCAGGTCATAGGCTAGGCACAGCTGCCCGACCTCCGACCTCCGACCTCCAGGGCTGCAGATTCTGAGCCCAGCATTCTCCTGGACCTGCCGCGGCATCAGGGTCCCTTTCAGCTGCTCAGGGACCTCCTGGGCCCCTCCCTGCCCTCCTGGGAACCCCCGGCTGTCTTCTCTCCCAGGACTATGGACTGCTGCAGCTGAAGGAGGGTGCGACAGGCCACAGTTTCCGTGCGGTACTCTGTGTCATGCTGCTGCTCTGCTACCACACCTTCCTCACCTTCGTGCTTGGTAGGAGTCCCCGGGGCTGCGTTTCCAGGGCAGCAGGCCGTAGGCCTGCTCAGGCTCCTGGCACTTGGGTTGGTGTCCTTGAAACAAAACTAACAGAGCCACAGCCACTTTCCTGGTGCCCAGGCTGCTGACTGCCCTTCCTCACTGCGGGACTGGGTTCCAGCCATGGTCCTCTCGTCCACGAGAGGGGACTGTTGTGCCCACCCAGGAAAGCATGTGGAATGCAGTCTCTGGGCGCCTGGTGACCGAGCCTTCGATGTGCTGTGGTGGTGGTGGGGGGTCTTCACTCTCGTTCCATCCTTTGGGCCCTGGACATGGGATGAATTATGGCCTTGTGCAGGGGGACAGTAGCTTGTGGGGAGGAGCTGGTTGTGACTCCCTTGCCACTGCCTTAGGTACTGGGAATGTCAACATCTCGGAGGCAGAGAAGCTGCTGAAGCCCTACCTGAACCGATATCCCAAGGTGAGCCCACCCTTTGCCAGGCAACCTCAGCCTGCGAGTGGCCCTGGAGCCTCATGGCCCCACGTGTGTATCACTGCAGGGCGCCATCTTCCTGTTCTTTGCGGGGCGGATTGAAGCTATTAAAGGCAACATTGACTCGGTGAGTAATGGAGGTGCCAGGGGTCTCCCAGACCACCAGGACATCAGACAAACGGGCATCTACAGAGACAGAGCAGACAGGAAGGGATGACCCCAAGAGAACCAGTGAGAGAGTAGGAGTGACAGGGGTGCTTCTGACCTGAGGCAGCCTGGGAGGATAAGGGAGGCCCTGGCACTTGTGCTCTGGGACTTTGACAGGAGCTGCAGGATGGTGACACCCCTGCTGAAGGAGTGCTCCAGGGAGGAGGGCGGGGAAAGACTGCTTGCTTAGGATGTGGCAATTAGGTGGTACTGAGGGCTGAGGGAGCCGTCATAGGGAACATCGTGGTTGGGACCCCAGCACTAAGCCTAGGACTGCACCACAGACTACAGTGTGAAATCTTAGGTATCTAGCTGGCCCCTGCAGGACAAATGCACCCAATCTTGGGAGCCCCATAGAAACTGCTGGCTTGCAGCTATGTCCCACCATTTCATTTTGTGACCCAAAATCTAGAGCTTCAGCATCACTTCTAGCCCTTTTGGCTAAGATCAAGTATGGAGTCCTGAAGAGGGGCAGCAGCAGGCCTGAGTCCTGCAGACTCAGGATGTGGAAGCCCTTCCTGGGTCTGCATGGAACAGCCAACCCAGGCTGCCGTGGTCGGGGGGGAGGGAGGTTCAGAGGGAGGCTGAGACCTGGGGGGACCGCAAAGCTGACCAGAAGTGCCCGCAGGCCATCCGGCGGTTTGAAGAGTGCTGTGAGGCTCAGCAGCACTGGAAGCAGTTCCACCACATGTGCTACTGGGAGCTCATGTGGTGCTTCACCTACAAGGGCCAGTGGAAGATGGCCTACTTCTATGCCGACCTTCTCAGCAAAGAGAACTCCTGGTCCAAGGTGGGCTAACACACGTGTTGGGGCAGGGGGAGGCAGACCCCACCCGGACTGGCCATGAGCCCCAGACCAGTGGCCAAGCCAACCCCTGACAGGATACAGATGTGCCAGCTGCATTCACATGGAACCATATGCTCTGCTAGGACTCAGGGTCAGAAAGCACCTCAGAGCCATTGCTTGTCCATGTTTGTGCATTTGGTACTAGAGATGGGACTGGAGCTGCTGGGCTCACTCTCTACCACTGAGCCATGTCCCCAGAAGTATAATATGTTGGTTGATATAGTTAGTGACATGTGGCTAGGAACATGGCTCTCACGCCTAGGCAAACGCTGTCCCGCAGAACTGTTGGCTATGGCAGAAACAATGCGTTTTGCACTGTTCCAGTGTGGTAGCCATTTGCTCTTGTGTGTATTTCAGCACTTGAAATGTGCAACCTGAGAAATGTAGTGTCTTAAATTCAGTTAATTTCAATGAAATAACCACATAAGACTCGTGGCTATTGTATGGGGCTGTGCAGTTTTCAACACAGAAGGCTTGTTGGTTTATATAACTGAAAAATCTAGGCAAACTTGACTTCAGATAGGGCTGGATCCAGGAATTGAAAATACGTCATCATCAGGCTTAGTCTTTCCATCAGTGGCTGTTGTCTTCCTGACACCTTGTTGGCAGGCAGGTTGTTTTTATGTGCCAGGCAAGGTGATCAGGGGCTGCCTCTTCCTCTTGGTTTCCACTGCAGTCCCATAGGTGAGCTTCACTGACCTACCTTAATTAAATCCTTTGTCAAGGACTGGAACAAAGGTGCTGGGAAGATGCCGCATGACCTGAGAGGAGAGCAGTGGTTCTATAGAAGGAAGATGAGGAGACTTACCTGGAAGTAGCATGGGCACGTGTGAGTGTGTGTGTGTGTGTGTGTGTGTGTGTGTGTGTGTGTGTGTGCAGGATTAACAATATACCATGTAGGAAAAACAAAGAAAACTAGGTGCCCTCCCACCATAGATGAAACTTATCATGGCAAGTGTCGAATGGCAAGGATTAGCTATTTTCATCATAGCAACAGCACAGACCTCTGAACCAGGAAGTGTAGATTTATCTAGCTCATCAGACAGTATGTAATCTAGTAATAGTGTGAGGAGCCCCGTGACTCTATCCTTGCCCACAGCAGACATCACTAATGGATCCTGGCACCCTTTGCTGTGAGCCTTGCTGCAACCTTAGAAGCCTTCTCTGCAAAGCATTCCAGGCACCGTTAGAACTGTCCTGCCCTGGCACATGTCCATGGACCTAGTTGTCATCCATATCTAGTCATTGTTTCTCTTCCCTATTGCACCTTCATGTGGAAGTCCCTCCTCAGTGCTGTTGCCCAGGGACCAAGAGGAAAGAGTTTCTTGGGGCAAGCAGGGCTCCAGGAGGCTTTCCCTAGCCGCTCATAGTCTAGCACTGCCATTTCCTCCATGCCACACCCAGTGAGGCTGAAGTACGTTGAGGCTCAGGGGCTAATATGCTCATATGCCAGTCCACGTAGCTGTTGGTGACAGACCTGGATAGGACAATTCTGTGAGGCTTGGAAGTCTCTGCTTTTCCCGTGCTGCCAGGCCATGGGAGGAGGTGGGGGTTCTGCCCTGCTGCAAAAGCACCTGCTCAGAGACAACCCCACCCCCCCCATCTCCCACCCCAACAAGGACAAAGGCTCAGAACCTTTGTGAGCTAACAGTGATTGTTCAAGACTTCCTATGTAGTGAAGTGGCCAGCTGGAGCCCCAAATAGGTAAGGGGAGGCCTAAGTGTCTGCAGAGCTACTGAGGAGAAGCAGGGTGTCAGGATGTCCCCTGTGAGAACAAGCTGTGTGCTCAGCTCACTGTGTGACTTTGGGACAGTTAAGTCCTCTGGGTCTGCAGCTGTCCTCAGAGGGGTATAAAATCCTGAGTTCTGGGCCCTCATCCCAGCATTTGGCTACCACAGCATCCATCAGCTTCAACTCTCAGTGCAGTGAAGTGGGGATCTGAGAGTGCAGGGCAGCCCTGGGAGTCAGAGCCAGCCAGGAGGAGAAGGCAGGCTTCAGGAAGACTGGACCTCTGAGCTGAGTGTTGGAGCATGTGAGGTGCAGAATGGGGGAAGCGCAAGGATGGAGCCAGGGAGCGGCAGGTGCAGAGGCTCCAGGCATGGGCTGTGGGTGCAGGCATGCAGGGGACAGGAAGCACCCCCCTTCTTGGAGCTGATGGCCTCTGCAGGACAAACACTATCTGCTTGACACAGACACTGGGAGGGCAACCTAGCAAGTTGATATTGGTGCAGAGGGCAGAGGATCAGATTATCCTGAGGAGACCAGGCTTCCATTGGAGGGCGGCTACTGTTTCTTGTCACCTGCCCATGAGCTTGATGTTCATCCCTGTAGGTCACTGTATCCACTTCACAACCAACGGCACAGGGAGGATGAGCGGTCTGAGGTGGGGGGTGGGGAAATGCACCCTGCATCGGACAGTAGAGTCCTGGGATGGGGGATTGGGAGGCTCAGGGTGGCAGCAACAGTGACAGTGCATAAGCAGAAAAGGAGTTTAGGGGAAGATCAGAAGGGCCTCTAGGGTTGTGTGGGCTTTATTCTAACAGCGAGAGTTGGAGGAGCCCTTGAACTCCTCGGGGTTCAGGTTTGTGCATGCCCAGTGCCCTCTTACCTAGGCTAGGAATGCAAGAGTGAAGGAAACCCTGCTCAAGGCTCAAGTACTGGTGAAGAGAGTGACAAGAAACACACGCACAGATGGAGTCAGGCTCGCTCACATGGGTGTCCGGAAGCCTGGCAGAGAAGCTGAGGACAGTGAAGGTCGAGGTCACATGGCTCCCTGGAAGAGGACTTCCGGCAGGAGGGCGCTGTGGCGGCAGCAGGTGCAGGGAGGCCAGTGCAGCTGGAATAACAGGGAGATGGCAGAAGAGGGCAAGACCAGTGAGATTCCAGAGCTAGGCAGGAGCTGAAGGTAGCAGGACCTGGTTGCTTCCCTGACACCTCAGGGGCAGGAGAGAGAGAGAGGGAGGGGCCAAGAGGTTAAAGGTGGGCAGGGACGAGTTTCCTTTGAGGGACTCTGTCAGATCCCACTGAGACCGGTTTTTCCTCACACAGGGAAGGGCAGACCTTGGCAGGAGTGGCTGCCAGGTGGAGGCTGCTTTCTGCCTCCCGCAGAGGCTCCAGGATGTCCTGCTCCCTTTCCTTCTCCACCCCTGTGTTTCTGTCTTGGCTGTTGGCAGATGTTTTCCTTGGCAGCAGCTGCAGGAGGCAGGAGCTGCAATTCAGGGCTCAGCCGTGTGAGGGCAGCACAGCCAGGTGCCTTTCCTGGTAGCCCGCAAGGTGGATACTCCCAGTCTGGCCAGGGCTGTTCCTGCGGGCTGTTTTTTCTGTGTGTGTGTGTGTGTGTGTGTGTGTGTGTGTGTGTGTGTGTGTGTGTACACTGCGATTTAGTGAGCCAGATCCCAGGTGGGCTCCTGCTCTGTATGCCCCAGGAGCTCTGGAGTTTTAGGAAGTGGAGGTGCAGGTTCCTCTCTGGCGTTGTCTTGGGGAGGGCAGGAGGGGATGCATGTCCAGGGCCTGGTGCTCGCTCACAGGCACTTCCCAGAAGAGCCTGACTGAGCCTGCCCAGGGCCCTGCCACTTTTCTGTCTCATCCCTCTTTATACAACACACTGCACGGAGGCTCTGTGGGGTCTTTGCATCAGCCCTCAAGGGCTCTCTGTGCTGTCACTGCTTCTCCCTGCTCATTGTGTGGATCCTTGATGATTCCCAGCTCATGTCCTCAAGTTGCTCTGGCTCCTTCTGTTTGGTGTTCTCCCCTGGGCCTGGGCCCACTGTCAACCCCTGTGCTGGGCACAGTAAGGTCCAGATGAGGTGCTCTGGTCAGAGACGCACACCTTTGACTGTTGCTTGCCTGCTCTCTCTCTCAGGCCACCTACTTCTACATGAAGGCTGCCTACCTCAGCATGTTTGGGAAGGAGGACTACAAGCCATTTGGGGATGATGAAGTGGAGTTATTCAGGTGGGCTCCGCAGTGCAGACCAGCTATCCTAGCTGGGGCTTAGAGAAGCTGTGCTGGGCAACCGTCCCCCATCAGGTCCACACGGAACCTAGCTGGGTATGGAGTGCACGCCTATAATCCCAGTACTTGGGAGGCTGTGGCAGGAGAATTGCCTTGTATTCAAGGCCAGCCTGGACTACATAGTGAGATCTTGTCTCAAACAAACATGGAACCTAATCATAGAATTGATTTAGTTCTTGTCCAGTGCTGATTGCGACCAGAATTGTGAAAGAATTAAGTTTTTAAACTTGAATAACCTCCCTTACAAGGTTGTTTGCTATAAGAATATGTAGTTTACAGTAGTGAATGACAAACAGAGAGGGTTTTTTTGTACCAGGAATCAAACTCAGGACCTTGTGACTGCCAGGCAGGTGTTGTGCCACTGAGCTACAGCCCCAGCCCTGAGAAAATTTTAAAGAGCCTGGAAAACCAGGTGTGGTGGTACATGCCTGTAATCCTAGCACTCTGGGAGGTTGAGGCAGGAAGATCACAAGTTCAAGCCCAGCCTGGGTAACTTAGTGACTGAGATCCTGTCTGAACATAAAATATATATATACATAAAAGATCTAGGTTCAATCCCCATACTGCACACAAAGAGCCTGCGTAGGAGTAGGGAGCTGGAGAGTTGCCACCAAGTGGTGCTGTTTCCATTCTTCTCCAGCCACCTGTGAGGGGGTCAGAGAAGTCTGCAGGGGACGGCTCAGCTGTGATGACAGGGCCCAGCACCTTCCTGCAGTCACAGTGAGGCCAGTCAGTCGGTCAGCCCCACTTGCAGACCTGGAAGTGGGTATCACAGGAGCTCCCTGGGCGACTGCTGTTCTAACAACAGGATGTGTGGGATGCCTGCTACTACAGTGAGCCCCATATCCCCATCTCACAGAACCCACCCAGAAATCCTGAGGGTAGGCATAGGTGTCATCACCAACACTTGAGCCTGGAGAGGCTCCATGCTGCATAAGAAGGCAAGGAATTTGGGGTGGCATCACCCCTAGGCCCAGCTGTTTTCCTGAGCCTAAGTGGCCCAGGCCCGAGATCATAGCCATACCCAGGGACCATGGCAGGAGTCTGAGCTGGTGGGTATGGCTTCAGATGTGGAGCTGCTCGGCTGCACACTGCATTTTACTCTGGAGTGGCTGAGGAGGCATAAGAGGGCAGTTCATTGCGCTGTTTAATCTTATGGGGCCCCACCCCCACCCTTCCTCTGAGTGTCAGTCTCCTGTGTGAAACCAGGGTTCGACTTTTGTTGGGCTCTCCCAGGAAAATGAGGCCTAAAATTTGGGGGAGTTAGCTGGCAGAGAGGGCAGATCTAGGGGCGTTGAGATCCATCCTGCCAGTTTGGGGTCCCTTCCCCAGCCAAGGAAGTAGTCAGGTTACCGAACAAGGCTGTTTCATACCTGTGAGACTCTTTAGAGTCCAACACTCACCATACACATGGGGAAACTGAGTCCCACAAAGCTGATAGACTGGGAACCCTCAGTCCTCTCTTGCTTTTTCTTATCCCATCCCAACCTCCCCTTCTCTTTCCCAGAGCTGTGCCAGGCCTGAAGCTCAAGATTGCTGGGAAATCGCTACCTACAGAGAAGTTTGCCATTCGGAAGTCAAGGCGCTACCTCTCCCCCAACCCTGTCTCATTGCCAATCCCTGCTCTGGTGGGTAGGAGGTCTTCACTGGCCCTTGAGATTGGGGTTGTGGGAATTAGTTGACAGCCATTGCTGGAGGGAAGTGGACGAGGAAAAAAGATGTTGGGCCTTGGGGTCTGGAGAGGGCTTCACAATTCACCTGGGGCTGCAGGAAGACCAGGGCAGAGGTGACCAATGCTTTGTCCCCAAGGGTGGTCTGAGGAGGCTGGGTGTCAGAACACAGGCCAGTGGGCTGCAGGTTCCTCAGGGCAGAAAGAGCAGCTCTCTTGGGCAGGCTATCCCCTTAGGCAGAGAGAGAGGTCACCATCTGCAATCCCTGATTGTCTGTTCCAGTTTTGTCATGTAATAGTCATTCAGATTGTCCCCCCTCAATAAGCTGACTTTTTTCTGAGGGCTGCAATCCCAGCCCATGTCATATTCAATTTTATTCAAATAACACGTGGCAGGGATGTTAAGGCCTAATAGGCAAATACAAAGATGAACCAACTCACCACCGCTGGCGAGTTGGAAGCATCAAAATTTGAACTTAGTAGCTGGCTGCAGAGCCTGACTGAGTTGCTGTGACTTTACTAACCCCAGGCCTGATCAGAGCAGGCATCAGAGGTGCTTCCAGCTGCTCTGTCCTGCTGTTGCTCAGTAAGGCAGCCAGCAAAGTAGAGGCCCTGTTCAGAGAAGGCTTTTTCTGGTCTTGTGTGTATAACCTTAGATAAGTTCCCTCTTCCCTCAGTGAGTATAAGAATATGAACCCTGCCCACTTAACAAAGCAGTTCTGAGAATTTACTGATAAAATGTGTTAAACACTTTATAAATTTGAAACTTTTTATACAGAATTTAAATCTTGTATCCTGAATATTTCTGGGCAGGTTTTAAAATATTTTACAGTTTGAACTATACAGAAGCCAGGTGTGATGGGCTCATGCCTGTAATCCTAGCGCTTGGGAGGCAGAAGCAGGAGGATCATTGTGAGTTTGAGGCCAGCCTGGACTACACAGTGAGACCTTGTCTCAAAAAACCAAGTGAATGAATAAACAAACAGTAACACTGTTCCTATCAAATGGGGAGGGAGTTATTGTAGGAAGGGTAGGAGATAGAACTATGCCAAAAATTTAGGGGAGAATTTTCCAAACTGTGATTGGAAAAAATACTTGGGGCTAGGGATTTAGCTCAGCAGCATAAGCGCCTGCCTTGCAAGCAGGCGGTCGTGAGTTCAATCCCCGGTACCGATAAAAAGGAAAAAGACAAAAAAAAAAAAAAAAACTTAATCAAGAAATGGTTTTCTATGATTTAATGCCTTGAGAAAGACAGGCCTAACAAAGTTACATAGAATTTTTGGGCACCTTTGCATGCTAATCTGTATGGAAGTCAGCAGGAAAAACTGAAGAATTTGATCTTTTCTACATTTGGGCACAGATCCAAAACCCTTTTTAATGAGACATTTACTAACTTTCTCCTCCTCATTTTTCTCCTCCTCTTCCTCGAAATAAAATGGATTTAGAAAAGGTGGTGGAGGAGAAAAAGAAGAAAAAAAATAGCCTGTTGTCCTAAAGTAAATTATTGTTGAATTGGAGCAAAAAGGAAGATCTCCTTGGGGAGGGTAGGCATGGGTTGGTCCTCAAAGGATGGAGAGAGGTTGGGAGAGGATGTAATAGCATTCAGGGGTGCCCTGAGCAGGAAAGGAGGTGAGAAATGCTGGTAGCTATGAGCAGGGATGAGGATGCTGCCTATCTTATGTTCACAGAAGTAGGGTAAGTTCCCAATCATAAAGGACAAAGTTCCTTCCAGAACTCCTTGAAGCTCACATAGGCCAAGATGAGACTGGTCTTGGAAGATTATAGCCAGGAAGGCCTTTGGAGACCCTCTGAGGAACTGTCCATCTTACAGATGGGAAACTGAGGCCCAAGTGGGGCAAAAGCCTAGGACTGACTTGCCCCACCCCTGCTCCCAGGAAATGATGTACATTTGGAATGGCTACGCTGTGATTGGGAAGCAGCCGGAACTCACGGATGGGATGCTTGAGATCATCACCAAGGCCGAAGCGGTGCTGGCACAGGGCCCAGGTGACTACATGCAGGCCCTTGTATCTGCCAGACTAGGTCAGGTCTTCACAGACTAGGTCAGGTCATTCTGTTAACAGTACCTGGCCCCTTCTCTCTCCCTGTTAACTGTCCTCTGTTTTACTGTGCTGAGCTTCAAGATGTCAACTCTAAGCAGCAGTCCTCTGTCCCCTGGTCAGTGAGGCCTCTGGGCTTCCATAGCCTCTGGGCTCCCTTCAGGTAGTCCCAACTTGCTAGTGTTATCGAATGCCCAGGCCTCTGCTCTCCTTCTCACATGGTAGTTTTCTGAGGACAGGGCCATCTGATGCGCCTGTGTCCTGGGCCTGCAGAGCAGGGTGCTTGTAGCCGTTGCAGAGAAAGCAAGCCTGACTTCTTCCTCATCCCCTCCTTAGAGAATGAGTACTCTGCTGATGATGAGTGCTTGATGAAGCTGTTGAAAGGCCTGTGTCTGAAATACTTGGGTCGGGTCCAAGAGGCCGAGGAGAATTTCAGGAGCATTGCTGCCAGGTAAGTGCCCCGGCTCCTCCCACTGGGCTGGGGTCTCCCAGGAAGCATTTTTAGGGCTCCTTTATCCTCACACCCATCACAGCAGCTGCCACAGCTGGCTTTACTCCTGCATGTATACTTGGGTCACCCTGTGCCAGGACCCCATGTTGGTGCAGATTGTTCAACCCCAGCCTGCACCAAGCTGCTCAACTGCCTGCTGTAGGACCCCAGCCATGGCGTCTCCTGTGGTAGCAACTCTGTCCTGGCTGCCATAGCTCTGTCAACCCAGCCTAGTACAGTTGGGGCCATGCTGGGAGGATCCAGAGTGGACAGATGGTGCCTGGAGGAGCACCTAAATCTAATGGGAGATACCAGGAAAGGCTAAGGCCAACATTTTAGTTTTTGTTTTTTGAGACAGAGTCTCACTACACAGTTCAGGCTGGCTTTGAACTCACTATATAGCCCAGGCTGGCCTCTTTCAGTGACTCTCCTGCTTCAGCCTCCTTGAGGGCTGAGATTACGCATGTGTCCCACCACGCCTGTCTCTCCTGTAGAAAAAGCAAGGAAGAAAGTTTCAAGTGGACTGGTACAGCTTACACAAATGCCTGGACACAGGAAACACTTTGGAGGTTGGGGTCACATGATGAGGTCCTTCTCTGTCTGGATGAAGGCGCAGAGAGAAAAGGGTTGAAGATGGAATAAAGCAGGCTAGACTGAGAAAGGCCCAGATGTTGTGCTCAGATCGTTAATCTTTTGATTCCGTGCATGGAACCTGGAAGAATCCTGGGCAGAGCAGCCTTGGGTTTTAAGTTTGTTTCTGGAGCAGCTTGAGGGAGAGGAGCAAATCAGAGCCTCAGACTTGACTATGTAATAGGCCATGCAGCCTTGAGGAGAAAGGTGACTGAGTTGGGGAGTAAGCTAAGGGCATGACAGGAAGCCATTAATTCAAAGAACTGGGGCCTAGGGTACAGAACAGGAAAGCTCTGCTGTGGATTCCAAGGCTTTCTTTTTTGGTACCAGGAATTGAACTCAGGACCTCGCGCTTGCCAGGCAGGCGCTGTGCTGCTGAGCTATACCCCAGGCCCATTCCCAGGTTTTCTAAAGCTGTGTAGTAGGAAACTTCCCAAGTTGGAATTCAGCTCAGGCATTCTCACATGACTTCTGGGAAGGCTCCGGAGGAGGACATGAAGGAGCAAAGCCTGTGAGGCCTTTCTTGTTTTATAGTGAAAAGAAGATTAAATATGACCACTACTTGATTCCAAATGCCCTACTGGAGTTGGCTCTCCTATTTATGGAACAAGGCAGAAACGAAGAAGCCATCAAACTCCTGGAATCTGCCAAGTAAGCCTTAGGTCACCTTGATTTGTCCTTTATTCTGAGCTCAGGGCTGGCCAGGGACAGAAGAGCCCAGGCAGCAGTGCGGCAGACTGTGGCTGGGGTGGTGGGGCAGTGCAGATGCCAGGCCTATTTCCCTGCATCTAGCTTCGCCCACCCTAGGAAAGCTTCCTCCTCCATTTTTGAAGGAACTCTTTGGAATCCCAGACAGACAGTGAGTTGCTGGGCGGTCACACCACAAACCAGCTGTGGGTCAGAGGAAGGCCGAGTCTTTTGGTTTCCTGTCCAGGGCGCTCTCTCCTAAAGCCACTCTTAAGTTTAGAGACCCCATAGGACCAAGAGTGGTGTGAAAGGTGAGGGGCACACACCCTTTTGGTTAATCCTTTTATTGGACAGGTCTCAGCTCTCTTTGGACAGGATGGGGATTTAAGCCTCTAGAAACTTTTCCTTGGCTGGGATGACGGTGGGATGCTCACACATCTCAAATGGGAGAAAAGACTTTCAGGAGTAAAGGGCTCCATGTGTCTGATTCTTTGCTCACTTCTAGGCAAAACTACAAGAATTACTCCATGGAGTCAAGGACACATTTTCGAATCCAGGCAGCCACACTGCAAGCCAAGACTTCCTTAGAGAATGGCAACAGATCCATAGTCTCATCAGTGTCCGTATAGCTCTGCACAGCACTCCTGGGCCAGAAGATGAATGAAGACACTGGACAGAGCTCCTGGAAACATTTCAAAAGATCCCCTTCCCCTCCCCTGCTCTCCCTTTGGGGTCTGCTGGTGCTCCAGTGGGATGACTCCAGGAAATCCAAGCAGAGGCAAAGCTGGCATTTCACCAGGGTGGCCACAGGCCTTTTCAAGGGCAGAGCAGGTGGAGCCCTCTGTCTGCCCTATCACACATACGGGTACTTATGGGTACTTGTTTTTCACTGTGACACATAAGAGAATGTATGAACAGTTTACATTTTGTCTAGAAGTAGACTGGCTTTTAAAAAAAAAAACACCCAACAACCAATGACCTGTAAATCTTTGCATTCATCAATATCAGTCTGGATGCTAATCTTTTTACATGATGCCAAAGGCCAAAGGGCGTTTCAAACTTTAGCAAGGTCTCAGCTTCTGAGGCTGAAAAGACCTGGGGAAGTTTCAAAGCTCTTGGGGTTAGACACAGAGGTCACCCACAAATGCAGACATTTACCACCTTACTTCTCACAGTTCACTCCCTTTGTAACTTTCCGATTATAAAAAGCAGGTGTTTTCAGTCAGATGAAACTTGAGTCCACCAGTAGAAAAATCAGTCTCTACGATAGAGAACAGGCATGCCAAGGCCCAACAGTAAAGCTGTGTGTGCCACAGCCAGTGATGCTGAGGTAGGGGAGGTTTTCAGGAACCAGTCTGCATCCTTGCTTTATGCCAGGCTGAACCCGCTGGGAATCATCTGTGAGACATAAAAACATTCTTACTACACTGCAAGGCACATTTATTTACGGACAGTGTTTTTCTTAGAAACAGAACAGTTATTCTTGGCCTGTTGTATTAGATTTTTCAGTTAAGAGAAAAGAGATAGTAATAAAATTTATATCCTTAAGAGATCACGCAACATCTGCTTCAGTGACGTGTGTGGCTGTAATTCTTGGGTAGGGCACAAAAGTCTTGATTAGAAGTCACATGTTTTTAGACATGACATTTAAAAAATTTTTCAGTAAGTTGTCAACATTTAAAAGTGAAATCTCACAAATGAATTTGGTTTCTGGTCTCTAAGGAAAAAACATCTGGCAACACTGAAACTTAATTCCCCAAAGACAGGAATTTGTTAGAGCTAAATAGAGGCTATTTTAAAGGATCTTGCTACTTTTCTGGCCCCTAATTTGTGACCCCTGGGGCAATTAAAGTGAGAACTCAAATTCAGTGACCAACACCAAGTTTTGTCATTCTCATTCTGTATCAGTGTACTCTGAAGGGAAAAGTCATGTGTGCGGCAAAAATACTTGTGAAAATGTGACTCTCCAAATGCCCAAATGCAATTTCTAGGAGGATCCACACCAGCCTTTCCAATTTTCCAGCACTGCTGTAATTGGCAAGCACTTTGTTTTGGCGGTATTAGGGATTGAATAGTCCACCATGGAACTATATTCTCAGCCCTATTTTTTGAGACAGGGTCTCGCTAAGTTGCCCCAGCTGGCCATGAACGTGCATCATCCTGCAGCCTCCTGAATGGCTGGGATTGCAGCCATGCGCCACCACACATGGCACATTAAACACTTTTGAGAACTGGAGAAGGCACAGAGGGTCTGTGGTCATTACCTAAACAATCAGCCTCCTGTGAATGATAATGAGGTCATGGGTTATAGTAAGTTCACAGGAAAAATCAAAAACCTTCACGATCACCCTTTGCAGTGAATGCTTTCAGAGAATAGAATGCTATGAAAAAATGTCTCATTTTGCCAGAACAAGACAAAGGAATGTCCCTCACAGAGAACAAGACTTCTGCAAGTTCATTCTCCAAAGCCTGGAGGCTGGGGGCCAGCCTGTTTCTAGGCTGCAGGACAAGACAGGGAGTGAACTGCGGTGGGCTCCCAGCGCAGGAGGCTGCTAACTGCTGAGCCACAGCCTCACTGGTTTGTGAGATATGATTTACAAAATGCAGTTTAGAATGAAACAAGACACAACCCTCAACATATTCACTTCAGGAGCCTTTGTTTTGGTTTAAAATTTTCCCAAGATGGCTTCCTTGCCAACATTTGTTGCTGCTGTCCTGCGGGGCTCTGGTAATTAGCCTACGTCACTTTTACCTTTGCTGCCCTGAGGTTCTGAGATAGTCTACTGAGACAGTCTCCAAGTGGGAAAACAGGTTTCAATCACCATTATGTCCTCACGCAGAGGCTTTGAAGGTTAAAAAAAAAAAAAGCTTGTATCCCTGTGTATTTCTGAATTAGTTCTGGTCATTACTTCTTTAACAGTATAGACCTTCCCAGCATATCTGCCCTAGACAGGCAATTGATAAGGTGTTTTTGGCTTAGAAATAGGAAGGTTTGGGCTGGGGATTTAGCTTAGTGGCATAAGCAGCTGACTGGCAAGTGCAAAGTCATCAGTTCTATCCCTCGAATCAAAAAGGTTTGAATGCTAGTCCTAGCTTTGCTAATTTTGAAAGACACAGTTCCTCTAAAATCTAACAAGTTAGACGAGATTCTGGCTCTTTCCTGCTGGCCAAATCCTTTTCTGGATTTTCAAAATGCAGGAAATAGACACACCTAACTTTGGCCTTGCTCTCACAAGCATTTCAACCACAGGCTCCTTAAATGGGAGTGGATGGGTGAGGGCGGGGGACTCCTCAGAGTCCCAGTTCAGAGCTACACAGATGAGAACCCAGTTGTCAGGGAAGCAGCAACTGTGTAACATGATCTGAACAGGCCCTTGGCAAGGCTCCCTCAGTCTCTCGCTGGGCACAGGAGCTCTGCCTGGCAGGGTGCTGGGTCCTATCAGCTCTCCCACTCCTTGGCAGGCTTCCCTATTTCCTTATCTCTGGAGTCAAAATGGGAGGGTTTCCAAGAGTTATCGCCATTCACAGCAAAAGGCCACAAGCTGACTGAAAACCTAGGCCTCTAAAAGGCCAGTATCAACCCAAGACTTGGCTGAGGCCCTGGTGCAAGATTCCCAGCAAGTGAAGAAGGGCACCATGAGGTTTTCGGAAAGCCCCAGCCTGCTGAGTAAGCGCCAGACCACTGAATACAGAAACTAAATCCACTTTTCTTTGGTATTACTCCCTATTTCACCTACTCACAGATGGAGAGTCAATGTTAATCTCCTTGCCTTATTTTTATTGACCAATTGTGACCAGGGGTTAAACTCGGGCTACCAAGGAGCTATAGTCACAGACTTTTATTTTTTGAGATAGGTAGGATCTGCATTTGCAATCTTGCAGCCTTGGCCTCCCTCCGTGCTGAGATTACAAGCACGCTGCACTATGCATGGTTTCCTTCTGCTTTTAATATAAACCCTTTTCAACACTTTTTGCCTGTTGTGGGAAATGGGCATGCTGAACTACCAAACAGGAATGCCACATCCTACCCTCAGATACTGCTTTCCAAGGTAGGACCGTGCCTTTCTGCTTGGGTTAGCACAACTCCTTTGAACTCTGGTGCAAAGTTAATTGTTAATCATTAGGGTAAATCCACACACAAGTAAGCCTCATTTGAAAGAAAAGTCTACCTGTAAGTGAGCAATCTATGAACTGCTTACACTGTATAAACTTAATGATTAGGTGAGAAACTGTAACAGAGCTTTTTGGGAAAGCACACAATTACTAAAGGTTTCTACAACTGCTAGAAGTTGACATTTAAATTTAATCACAACACCTAGTGACTGGATTGCATTGTTTTCTTTCACATTAACAAACACTTCACAACAGCAGACATCTTATGCTCTGGAAAAAATACTAAGTTACTTTGTCAAAAAGCAGTCAAGTTAGAAAATTATTGCCTGCCTTTTGGCACAATGATAAGGAAGCAATGGCTAAGAACCACCCTTGCTGGGGTACACACAAGGTAAGCTGTTTGACATGGTTGCACAGATCACTTGGCATCAAGAGGTAGGGAGAGGGTCTGGAGTAGTGGACTGAATTCTACCTGTCCCCCGCTGGAGAGTTCATCAGCTGCTTGAGCGATAGGCTTTAACAGAGGCAGAGCTTCAGGCCTGGATTGAGGCTTGATGGGGCACAAACTACATGCAAGTTTGTTAAAAGACAGTAATTTGGAAAAGAAACTACAGCTTTCCATGAAGCAGGCTCCAGTATGCTGATTGGTAAGAGCTTCAACCAAAAGAGCACCATGCCTTCCCATGAAGCAAGCGTTGCTATGCTGATGGGTAAGAGCCTCAGCCAGAAGAGAAACAGGCCTTCCCGTGAAGCAGGCTCTACCACGTGGTTGTCTCAGCCAGAAAAGAAACCATGCCTTCCCGAGTCAGCCAGTGTGTAGGGTGAAAAACAAGAAGAGCAACCCCCTCCACACACACAGATTCAGGACTCAGGGTAAGATCACTGCAATGAAGGAAAGGGAATAACTTGATGCTGGTATTGTTTGGTTGACTCTGTAGGCCTGGAGCTGGTGGTCTGGGCATCTACTTGGAGGATGGCAGTGTACATTGTCAATTGTGGGTGGTATCTTCCTGTCTTGTTTTTGAAATCCAATGTTTTGTTCCACTTTACTGTTCTGTTTTATCCTCCAGCCTGGTAACCTGATTAACTATTTTGAAGATTATAATAGGCAGCATTGATCTGTTTTGTTTCAATGTATTGTTTTATTCAGTTTTTTTTGTTTTGTTTTATTCAATGTTATGATTGGTTTTGTTTGATTTTGCTATATCTGATGGTGTGGACAACTATTGTGAAGATAGCAAGATATATTATGGTAGCCATTGTTGACTACCCATTATACTGTTTTGAAGTTTTGTACCACTTTCACCTCTTTGTTCTGATTGGCTTTATTCTGTATGTTGGGTTCTATTCTCTTCAAAATAAAATTTAAAAAATGAAAACACAAAAAATCCCCTAGGACTTGAGGTCCCATTCTACCTAGCTATTACCTAAGTATCTTCTCAAAAGAATTAAAAACATCATATCACAGTGATGTATGTGCATAGCAGCACAATTTGTAATAGCCAGATCTTGGAAATAATCTAAATGCATACTGGCTGAAAAATAGATAAAAAGGATGGGGTATTTTTATGCAATGGAGTACTTCTCAGCCATAAAAAAGAATAAACTGGAGACTTAGAGGTAAATGGATGCAACTTGAGACCATATCATTAGTGGAATAAGGGACACATTTTAGTGTAAACATAGGCTCATTGGTGTCAGAAGCTGAAACAACATATGTATATGTATAATTTAGGTATATAAAAGATACTTTAGTTATACTTCTGATTTCTCTGAGTTCACTGAAGAGAAAATCTGTGCTGGTATATTTGGACAACTGACTGCAGATGTCTTGCATTCTGGGTGAATGATTTGAGGATGATAATGTGCAATTTATATACCATTGCTGCCCTGATTAATGTTTTAAAAATTTTATTATTACTTTTTTTGGTACCAGAGATTGAACTCACAACCTCACGCTCGCCAGGCAAGCACTTACACTGCTAAGCTAAATCCCCAGCCCTAAAATTTTTAGTTTTCTTTTTTCTCCTTGAAATAAAATGGATTTGGGAAGAAAAAAGAAGTAACTACTGGGAAACTGTGGTACACAATGCTGACACTCAAAACTTCTAAACACTTAAGTTATGGTTCAAGTGATCCATTAGAAAAATTAATTTGTAAGTGCTGAGAATTGAACCTAGGACCTCATTCAAGGTCAATACTCTGCTATTGGGCAAATATGGTTACCTACCACCTATCAATGGTGCAATTATCTCTGGTAAAGGCTGTGAGCACATCTGCAGTATGAAAAAGATGAGTTTACTAACAATGCTCCACTTTTTTTTTTTTTTTTTGGAGACAGGGCTTGTTGCATAGCCCGGGCTAGCCTCCAACTCAGTGATACCACTGGTTCAACCTTCCAAGTGCTGAGATTACATGCATGCATCACCAGCCCAATTACAAGGGGT